AGCATTTGTAAAGATGGTTCATAGTGTTATTGTGCTTTTTACTATATTTATTAGTTCTTATTCATACCTTGAAGTTGCTTTTGTTCACTTGCTTTATGGTGTCTAACAGCACGATCAACAGCATTGATGATAATAGTCTCATCATGTTAAATGTTCTATGTAATCAACAGAGAGGGCTTAACATCGTCCATTTCAATGCTAGAAGCTTAAACAACACAAAAATGGAGTATGTTAGATATGTGTTTACGTCCTCTGCTGTTGATGTTATCTGTGTTTCCGAAACATGGTTTCCACTTGATATTAGTGATGGTCTTTTTAATATAAATAATTATAAGATTATTCGAAAGGATCGTGTCGGTAAAAAGGGTGGTGGCGTTGCTATTTATTGTAAGACCCACATCAATATGAAACTTGTCGGCGAGTCGGATAATGGAGGGGTTGAATATTTACTTGTTGAGTTGTCTGATCGTGTGAATAAGTGCCTTGTTTCATGCGTGTATAACCCTAATAAATTTGTCAGTATAAGTCCTTTGTTTGATAAGTTGTCCAATATTGCTATCGACTACGAGAATATTATACTTTGCGGTGACTTTAATATCAATCTCCTTGCTGGTGATTCGTTATGTTCTTCGTTGCTTGATAATGTTGCAAGTTTAGGTCTCTCGGCTGTTAACATCCCAATGCCAACTAGGTACTCTCATAATTCTAGTCCCAGTCTTCTTGACTATTTTGTTGTTTCTGACCGTTCTTCTGTATTAAAATTTGACCAAATTTCTTGTGTCTCTGATCACGACTTGATTTTCTATTCTCTTGATATTAATTTTAATGGTGTTAGCGAAGAGAAACTGTATGTATATCAAGACTTCCGATCGATTGATTTGGATGCTTTGTATCGTGAACTGGACAATGTAAACTGGTATGACTGTTGGTATTTCGAATCCGTGAATGAAAAACTTTAATATCTAAACAACAAATTATTATGTGCCTTTAATACTTATGTTCCATTACGCTATANAACTTGAATATCTAAACAACAAATTATTATCTGCGTATAATACTTATGTTCCATTACGCTATAAAAAAACTACCACATGCCCTTGGTTTAATGGTAAAGTGCGGGAAGCCATCAAGTCCCGTACTAAGGCTTACCGCACTTGGAAGAGAAACCGTACAACAGCTAGCTGGGATGCTTTCCGCGTAGCTAGAAATAAAGCCACCTTGGTAGTTAAAGCAGAAAAGCGGAAATACTTTGCAGTCAAACTTGGTCCTTCTCTCCCCTCTGGTAAATTATGGCGGAACATTAAAAATCTGCAGGTACATGCCAAGGACAAAACTGAGTGTATGTTAGATGTTGAAAGTCTGAATGATGTGTTTCTTTGT